AATTTATAAAATAAATAAATAATGAACTTTAATTATTAATAAATATTTACTATTTCAATATAAAAAAAATATAAAATGATATCATACTATTATTTCAATTTTGTAAATGTATTATTATAATATTGATATTGAATAGATATTGTATCAGTATCGTAAAGATATTGAATTGATATCGAATTTATAATAAATCAATGTCATGTATATATCGTTTCAATATCGTATCGATATCATTTTGACATAAATATAATATCGAATTGACATTATAACTTTATTGTATCTATATCATATCAATACCATTTTGATATTAATATCAATATTGTATTGATACCATTTTGATATTAATATCGTATTGATATCGTATCGAAATTGTTTTAATGACATTTTGATATTATTATCAATATCATATCGATATCGTATTTATATTAAAATGATATAGTAAAGATAAACTTAATGACCTCGATTCAATTATCATCAAAGTATGATAAAGTTATCATAATAATATAGATTCAATATCGAATCTATATCGTTAGAATTTTTTGAGTTTCTGTAAAGTACCAATTCCACCATATTTATGCTATTTCTTTTTCCTAAAAAAACATAATCCATGACCAACACAATCTATTTTTTTTTCTTCAGCTTCTATTTGTTTAACATATTTTTCACTTTCAGTTGTTAATTTAATTACATTATCAATCCTATTTGTAGATTTTATATTCCCCTTTTTAATGTCCGTCCCATTCAATAAAATCAATAGCACCTTCTACTCGATTTACACAAATAAGATTTTCTTTAACTAATTCTGAAGTTCTTCTTCAACTTTGACATTTTTAAGTGAATATCTTTTAATATTGAATTATTTAAAATATACTATTCAGCAATATGTTCAAAAGGTGTATTATCATCATTATATTGGATTAAATTTTTAAAAATTTCAGATATTAAAGGAATTTTATTAATATTAAAATGTATTATATTAAAATAAAAAATAATACTATGCTAAAAAAAAAATAAAAAATTATACATGAAAATAAAATGCTATTTTATTATTATTATACTAAAGAAATGCTAATATGTTATACTAACGAGATTTAAAGAAATAAAAATCGCTAAAGAAATGCTAACGCGTTACGATATTACGATTATATCACAATTATATATCACATGATTTTGGTCAAGAAAATACATTAAAACGGGTGCATAAACTGAAGGATCTACACTATAAATATATGTCAATCAATAGTCGATCATTTCTATGATTGATATTACACAGAAATTTAAGCATTTTTGCCGGTTTATTAATACTGTAAGCTAATAACCTCTTCATTTAATATACTGATTTAATATACCATTTTTAATAGCATGTAACATATGTATCTTTTTTTTAAAAAATAAAAAAAATATTTTTTAAATGTGCGGAAGTTAAATTTCATACATTGATTTCAAAACAATGCTTTTTTTACCTTTACAGGGTTAAACCTATTCGTTCTTAATTATATTCCAAAATCAGAATAAAAGGAACTGCAGGAATACCTTTTACATTCAAATCGAAACTCTTGAAATTTACCGTATCATCTACAAGTTGGAGATGCATATGTGCTACTCATTCGATAAAATTTAAAACAGAAAAAATTTCGAAAATTATGATTTGTTCGCTTTAAGAAGCTTCTTTTTTTTACAAAATTTATAATAGTTCCTTTCCGGTAATATAATACAGTGAAAACATCTTTAAATGCACCTCCTTTAGGAACTTAGGAACATAATGAAATTTTGAAAAAAAAGTGCATTTAAAGAGGGTATGCATTTAAAGAGAGAAATCAAATATGATCTTTATATACTTGGGGTTCTATGAAGTGTGCATTTATAGATAAAATATAGTAATCTGTGCAATTAGGGAGGGTGCATTTACTGTATTGAACAAAGTAATTTTTCCATTTTTAATCGTCTAAGAAAGACAGAAGAGAAGGATTTGTTATTCTAATATTCTAAGGCCGTGAAATATTTTTGTATTCGGTTTCTATTTTAGGCAATAAGTGTTTAAAAAAAATAAAACTTCGCTATTTAGTCAATTACGGTTAAATAAGTAAACCAAAAAACAAAATATACGACCTTTGTTCTTGTTAGTAAGGAAAAAAAAGAGATAAAAAACCATATCAAAACTCAAAAAAAACGAAGGATAAATTTTTTTCTTGATACATAACCTTAACACGTTCTTTAATAAATAAAATTTTACCAAAAAAATCAAATTTATCATCGCTATGAATTAATAATCTTATTGAGCCATAAACAATAAATTTATACATTGAATGATTTTGAAAAATTCAGAATTGGTTTCAGATGAACCATTATTGGTCAAAAAAAAAATCCTTTCTTCTACACTTTTTAACATTGATAATTCAAAGAAATCATGAATAATGAGCGTTTTAAATTAAAATGATAATCTAGTACATTAAAATTAGAAACCACCGCGCTAAAAAAATTTAGTATTTTTTTTTTTTTTAATTACTAATAATGTTTATTGATTGATTTTCCATTATTAATCATATGGTGTGTGGCGGTTATTCTAACCTTAGCCTTATCAAGAATTTGCTATTTATACAAATTCGTGTAACGACATATATTTCACAACATTTTGAAGATCTTCCTTTTGTGGTGCCAAGTGGTTAGCAGATCTGTTTGTAGTATTAAAACCGATAAATAACCCCTTAAGATAACAGCATTTTCATTAAAGTTGTAAATTCACAAAATACGTTGATAATAAGAAGTAACCCATCTATTCTCTAAAACTCTTATTTTTTTTTTAAATTTTTTTTTTTCAACAATGACAAAAATTACTTCGCATAAAGTCTTGAAACGTAACCTTTTGCAAAGCATAAATTCTCAACGGATTCCTTCAACACAATTAATGGAACAACAAAATACGCGCAACATAATAAGTCCACCGAATTTGACTTTGCCTTTTCCACCTCACATCGTTCCCGAGAATTTAATCAATCTAAAATCGTGCAAACTTCCTTCGAAACCACCAAATGCTTTCTTCATCTATCGTAAAGTTTATACTAACGAATTGGTTGCTCAAAACATGCGATTTAAAATGACCGACGTTTCTTCATGGGTCTCAATTTCTTGGAAACTTGAACCTGAAGAGGTCAGGACCAAGTATAAAGAAATTGCAAAGGAGGTTCGAAAAATTTATAAACAAACAAAACTCGATGCAACAGATGAATCACACCTTTCACCGGTTAAAGATTCTCCAACATCTTTACCAATTCATCCGCTTAATAAGGATCATGTAAATTCCGATCCAGAATTAATCCCTGAATTTTTCGTTTACGGTCAATCAAATGATACGGAATTACAAAATCCTGTTGTTGATAATGATTTGGACTATTATAACAATATTCCATTGTTAAATCCTTCTATTATTAACAATCCTACTAGGTCTGGATTATGGCAGTACGAATGTTATAATTTACCCCCAACGATTTTTGAAAATATAAGCGCTGAATTATCATATTCCGAATATATGGTATTACCAAATAATTCAAATAACGTTACTCCTGAATTTGAAGCAGAACCTTGGGTATTTGAAGACTTTGATGTTTTATATGAAAATACTGATTCGTTTGAAATGGGTCATCAATCCTAAGGAAACATTATGATACTCACTTTTTAAATATATTTAGGCAACTTGTAATTTATTATTTACTATCTAAAGATACATTTTTTTTAAAAAAAAATTTGTTCTTTTCATTTGTAAAATAAAGAAATTTTATTTTTTTTGAACTAGAAAGTTATTATGGTCTTTTTTTGGTCAGTATAATGACAAAAAATATTTCGGCAAAAATCGGAACGTTAGAAACACATAACTTATGTTTTAAGAACGTGACATGTACCGTTATGATATGCTAATTTTTAATTCTAAAATTAGTTTTGTTGTGGTTTGCCAATTTTCCACGCGTTAAAAACTTTAATCTTATTTAAAAGGAATAAAATTTTATTAAGATTGAATTGTTTCGACATTGAAAATTTTGATAATAACGCACGTAAGTACCCGTTTCATCTCAACCATTACATTTCGTATGATGCGAAGAATATTGGAATTCACAAATGTTTTCCAGGTCAACGCATATACAAAATGTATCAACTTACTACAAACATATATCTGAAATTGACCACTGATAAATATTACATATAACATAATTCGCTTGGTAAATTTATTTCATAACATTCAGAGATTTTATTTTTAAATGAAATTTTTATGCGATGTTACTCCACTAGCCACGTTCGAGTACATTTCGTCAAATAAACAAAGCTGCACGAAAATCATTTTATATAAATTGCCTAGAAAGGTTTAATAAAAGCACAAGCCACAACTGCAATGCGGTATTCCGTTGCTTAAATTAGAAAAGCAACCCGCATCAAGAAATCAATTGTCTAATCTATCTTTCAGTCATTTATGGAAGATAAAAAAGATGCAGAATAATATTCCATTCACCAGAAAGGAATTCCTTTTACGGATTAAAGGACTAGTTAATCCCTCTTCGCGAACTTCATTTCTAAAGTCGTATATACTGTACATTCTGTAAATAAAATGATATCTTATCTTTAATGGATTATAAAGAATCCAAAAAAAAAAGAAGTTAAATCAATCATTTTCATATACAAACGTAAAAAGTACAGGCTGTCTAATTTTGTACTGAGCTGCATTATAAAGGAAGAATCTTTGTTTTATTTTCCAATTTTAAAACTTAAAGTACAAATAAAAAAAATAAAAATATTGTAAAACGCATAATTCTTTTTTGTTTTTGCGTTTATGCGTAATTATGTATTAAATTTCTAAATGAAATCATGGTAAGACCTTTAATTTATTAAAGTAATAATTTGGTTTGTAGAGATGTAACAAACAATTATAAAAATATTTCATTGTTGATAACGGATTAATTAGGATCAGAAGATTCGAATCTTTTAAAATAATGAACCTTGAATTTTATCTCCTTGTGATCCAACTTGAATCCAAACAATCCATTTCCGATGAATCCGGTTGATTTATAATTTATCATCAGTTCTATTTTTTTTAGTATCGGTTAACTTTATTTAGTACAAAGAACAACGCATAGCTGTCTTGTCGCGCAAAATCGAAATGGAAATGTATTATCATTTAAGGTAATGAATATAATTATATTGACGGTATATAATAATAGTATTTAATAAAGATTTATATAGAAATTCGAAATACGGACGCGTCATATAACTATAATCGATCATTTTAGAGCGTATCAATATTCTAATAATCGGTGACTATAGTTGTACTATAACAAACAAATGATTTAATAATAATAATGCTCTTTTTAAGAAGAAACCGCAATGACTTTTCATTCTCAAAAAAAAAATATTTCCGTATGTATGCTATAATTATTACGTCATGCCTGTCTCTCTTATAGCACGTGATACAAATATGTTTGAACCTCTAATAACTCAACAAAAATGATTTTTAGTTAGAATGTATTATCATTATAATAATAATAATCTATAAATATATTTGATTTAGCAAATAACTTGTATACCATTTAAAATAATATCATTATAATAATGTCAATAATGTCTTTGTTAAAAAGTAGTACAAAGTATCACCAAAGCAACATAAACACTATTTACTATTACTAAGTCTTGTGACCACAATCGAGGTAATTATTGAATATCAATTAATCAAGCGGAAATTCCATCACAAAAAAAAATTTGTTTCTTCTTTGCAACTTCATGCACGAAGTTTTTTCCCTTTAATTTTAATTCGTAATTTATATCGATTACAAAACAATAAAGGTTTGGTAAGAAGACAAATAATAATAGAAGCATTATTACTGAATTTTAATGATTCAGGTTTCAAAATAAATCTCCTTCGAATTTAGTTTTTTTCCCATTGAATTGTTTTCATCTCTAAATAACAAAGATAATCAAACTTATTTATTAACAAATTACATTTGCTTTGAACTTATAGTACAAGAAAATCACAATGACCACGCGTATTCGGTGGCGCACATACATTCATAACCCTAAAAGATCCTTCCATAAATTTTATATAAACCAACAGGCGTGTGGAAAGATTTTATCATTATCCAAAAAATAGAAGGTTCCAATGAGGCAGTCGTAACGTCTACGTTTAAAAGTGTAGAGATATTTTAAGCCCGATTTATAATAAATAATTTCCTTCCATTTCTCGTGTGAACGTATTGGACATGAGGTGGGTGTATAAGTTTTTTGTAGAGCTTCTGATTCTTTTCAGCCTTTTGAGCCATTTACTGTAAATTTTTGTTAATCATTTATACAAGAAAATCTTGTCCAACCCATACCTTCTGCTTTATTTACTTCGAAATATTAATTGTGATTCTATTATTGCCATATTATTGAATGTAGAGTAACTATCGGTCAACAGAACTTTTTACCTTCCAAAAAGTCAGCTTGTAAGTACGACTGCCAGAATGCGATCTACACAAAATTCCTAATAAAATTAATTAAATGAAGAGCAAATTTTTTTTAACTTAGAACATCCACAAAATGTTGATATGAAAAAAAGGTACTTTCAGAACTTTGCACAGAATCAAGTGTCATATGTCATGTTGCGGATAGTTCTAGATTTTATGCATTTTAAGCGCTAATTATCGTAATTATCGGTCTCTACATCTATGGCATAAAGGACGAAAGAAATTAATTATTTTGTTTATCATAGTTTACATTATTTCAGGATTTTTAATTCAAAACCTAACTCAGATTATTTTTTGCTAATATATTTAATATATTTCGTCGATAATGAAATGCATCAGTAGAGATAAATATGTACTTTTAATAATGATTTTATTAGTGTTACACAACAAGATTTGTAGATTAATTTTCTCTTAAAAGTTATTATCTTAATGATTTTGTTTTTTATTATTTAAGAGTTTTATCATATTGTATTCAAATCAGATATCATATTCATTTTATTTATAAATCTATTTCAGATATTTTCAAATACTTTTAAAAAGGTATATAAGAAAATTGTCACCTATAAACAACATAGTCCGAATTTTAAAATTCCATTTATTTATATTGTGTAACTTATTTTTTTTTTAGATTACTTACTGTACATGGAATTTTATGGATTTCTATGGAATTTTTGCAATTAGTCCGAAATTTCATATTATTACTATAGTCACTTATCAAAATTATAAATTTTTAACCCATAATATCACTTAAAATTTCTAATAAATTTTATAAAATAAACATCGCGTATCTTCTTGTTCGTGTAACATATAAATATACAAATGATATTTTTTTATCATTATTATTATTATATTTTTTTATTATTACTTTTACTATTCCCTTATACGAATTAAAATTAAGTAAGGTTCTATGCTATTATAACCTAAAATATCTTTACATCCACTATATGTTAATTATTAAGGGACAAAGAAAATATTGGTATGTTACATTGTAGAACTATATGTAATATCGGTATAATAAGGATTTTTAATCAAATTGTAAAATGAGACATGAAAAATTATCAGTCATGCAATTATCGGATTGTATAATATTTACCGCAGCATCTTGACAATATGTATCACCATTATATATATATTTTTTTTTTAACAAAAATTTTATTTTTTACAAATTTATAACGTATAATAAAGAAACTTAAAAATATTTTCATCAAACAAAAAAAAGTAATAATGCATCGAATGAGTTTATTTGATGATTTAACTTTTTTTTTCATAAATTCATAGAGCCAGTTTCGGATGCTAAGGAAACATCCTCTTTAGAAGAAATCGAAGGTACTTCCTTCCATGTATTATTATTAACCATATTTAATGTTATAATTATTCGTTAATTTTAAATTTTATCAAATTTAACATAGAACCAGCTTTAAGTGACGAAGGTAAATAAATCAATACTACGAAAATTGTAATGTAAAC